TCCTGAAAAACTAACAATTAACTTTTTGCTGTTTTCATTTTAATAATTGATCTACCAAATGTACCTTATGTTTTCTTTATAAATAACCAGAACAACACCCTAGTGTTCTTAATTATTCAAAAAAGACTTTGCCTGTAGAAAAATCCACCAGCAGTTTTTCTGCTGATCTTCCCTTTTTCCCCCTTTCGGTTTAACACCTGGTTTATATTTCAAAAAAAATCAAAATAGATAAACCACCTACATGCATCAGTTCCCAAGGAAAAATCGGTGAAAAAAGGTACTGACAAGTACTAATTTGGTATGGACAAACGACGTCGAGATAAGGACTCAAAATTATACAAGAAAAGAGCGAGAGATCGCCGACTACGAAGCCTCAAAATGAATATATGCATCGATACACCTACACACTCGGCAGCCCCGGCGAATACGCACCATAAATATTGATTAGATGTTTATGAGAGAAAGAATCTCGCTTCTGGGAATAGCTTTGAGTCCGGTACGCGGGTTTTATGAATTTTAACCAACACAGAATGAATTTTACGAGATATTTATTTACCTATTTTATTTAAAACAAGTTGCATATTATTATTACACATTGTATAACAAAGTTACACAATGTTCTTTCATTATTGAGAATTTGATGTTCGATATTGCAGACTTGTCACGTTCTAGCAGTAGACAATATGTCTTGGTTGATAAACTCGAGGTTGAGTTTTGAGATCTGGAATCCTAATTTTAGTTCAATAGTTATTAAAAAACAGTTCATAAACTGATGCTCATTTACCTTTCAAGAAAGGTTGCGTCTAGAGTGTGTTTTGTCTTGTTAATTCAGGAATAAACAGTTTTTATTTTATTGAGGTTTTTAGTTAAATGCATAGTGCGCCTCTTTTATCTTCAGGCCAAGGCGGGGCGGATTTCAGTGTCCGCTGTCAACTGTCTGTTTCCTCTACTTCTGAATATAGGCACTGCCATTAACTATCTTGATATTTGAGAACTATAAAATTCGAATCAAGGAACATCAAATTTACTTCGTAATCATTCAAAGCTTTGTCTTCCTTTTGTTATTTTATACTGATTCATGTTTCCGAAAAAATGATTGTTGTCTTGATGTCTCTTTTACGTAGGTATCTATCAGAAGCGTCAGAATTTTCTGATTGCTCTTGTGATGAAAACAGGAAACCAAGACTTTAGAAGTGATGCCGATATAGGATAGAATCCATATAATGCCGTCCGGCCTAGGTACCTCCTAGATTGTGATTGGACAGATACTACAATTGAACATTTCTTCCAAAAGTTGTTTCACGAATAAAACTTCAGTCAAACAGTTTGACAAAGCATCGAACTCGGCCTCTGAGCTTGAAATTGAGACTGTGTTTTGCTTTCTAGTTTTCCAAAAAGTTATGTTACCGAAAACTTTGAGAGCAAAACCTGAGACACTCTTTCTATCTGTGACGTCAGTCGCAAAATCAGCATCAATATTAGCTGACAAAATATTTGACACACTTTTGTCATTGCTTTGTGTATATCTCAAACCAAAGTTTTCTGTACCTTTTAAGAAACGCAAAACCTGCTTAAGATAATTCCAATGAATTTCAGAGTATGAACTTTGAAATTTACTGAAATACGTTATTGCAAAGCATAAATCAGGACAACTACCTAGCATTATATACATTAAGTATCTTTATAAGCTCACGATATGGTAAAAGTTCAGAACATTCACCGTTACTATTTTCCAAATTAAGTTTATATTGAATAGGTATTTCTGAAATTTTACGTGTTGTCATTTGAAAAACATTCAAAACTTTTTGAATAAGCTCTTTTTGATCAATAGTTAAACCAAAATCTGTTTTTGTGATATTTTATCCTAAAAAAGTCAACTTTTTAGCATCAGTTAAATCACGCATTTCAAAAACACTCATAAGCTCATCTTTAACTTTACAAATTTCTGATGTTAATTTGGAAACTACGTGTATCAACAAATAGGTATGTTCAGAATAGTACAAGCATGGATCACTTTTTGATCGCACAAAACCCAATTTAAATAAGTAAAAATTCAGTTTTTCATACCAGCATTTTGGAGATTGACGAAGTCCATATAGTGCTTTCACTAATTTACATAATTTTGAGTCATCATCGGATTTAAGTCCATCTGGTATTTTCGTGTACACTGGTTGTTTCAAGTCTCCATTCAAAAACGCGCTCTTTACATCAAGCTGATATATTTCCATATCTTCTTGAACACTCAAAGATAACCAAGATACGCAATGTGTGCATTCTTGCAACCGGTGAATACACTTTTTCACCAAGTCTGTTTGTTGGTATCCGCGAGCCACCAATCTTGCTTTCTTTATTTTCTCTCCATTAACATCTTTTTCACAAAAAATCCATCTAGAATCGATCACTTTTTCACTATCTGGAATACTTGATTTAGGCACTAGTTTCCATGTGTTGTTTTTCTTTATTGATGAGAACTCTTGATTTACTGCTTCATTCCATCCACTATCTTTTACAGCTTCCTGATAAGTGTCTGGAACTTCAGTTGAGAAATCTCCAATTGATACAGCAATCATCATTTCATAATCGTCATAGCAATTAGGTAAGACTCTGTGCCTTGTTACTCTTCTTCCATTGATATTTTCTTGTGCGTTCACATCATTATTTTCCATTTCATCATTTTCACTTTGATTTTCACCCTCCAATTCAAATTCATTCTCTTCATTTTCATTCTGACATATTCTCATCTCATTCTCCTTCACTCTTGTTTCTACACCCATCATTTTACTTTCATCAAATATGACATTTCTGGCGGTCACTATTTTTCTGGAATTTGGGTCCCATAAACGATATCCATTATCAGTAGATCCCATTAAGAACATCTTATACGGCTTCTAGGATTCAATTTTCCATGTCTATCCTCTACTGGAATATGTACATGTGCTGTGCAATCAAAAATTCTTATTTTTTGAAGATTTGGTTTTTGTTTGTGCCAAATTTCAGATGGGGTTTTATTCTCTGATAAAACAGATGTTGGGGTTCTATTTATGAGAAATGCTGACGTGGCAACAGCCTCTTTCCAAAAATCTTTGCTCATACTTGCCTCAAAAATCAAGCATCTTGCTTTTTCTAAGAGGGATCTATTGTAACGTTCGGCAATTCCATTTTGTTCGGGGGTCCTGGGTAGTGTGTATTCTAACTTGACACCTTTTTGCTTACAATAATTTTTCATTTCGTGAGAAATATACTCCCCGCCATTGTCACATCGTATTTTTTCAGGTAATTTACCAAATTTGTTCTTGACCATTGCTATGTAGATATTCTTTAAATTTCTGGCAAACTTCACTCTTATGGGTCATACAATAAATCACTGAAAGATGTGAGAAGTTGTCTATGAAACTAACAAAATACTTCATACCATTATGCGTTACTGGATTTATAGGCCCACAGACATCACTAGAAATCACTTCCATTATTCTTTTCGCCTTGCTCTCTTCTGGCAATTGTACAAATGGTTTTCTTGTCTGTTTCTCTTGTAAACAGATTTCACAGATTTTCGATCAAGGATACTTGGACGAATGTCCCATTCTTCGGTTTAAAATATCTTTTTCTTGCACTGTGATATTTGCTTGCATTTCTGGTATTTCAAAGTTCATAATATACAAATTTCCCATCAATTTTCCTGAAGCTACTTTATTTTCACCATTCAAGACTGATATTTTTATAACTTACTTTTCTCAATGATTATCTTAAGGCCTTTTCCTTCCATTTTCTTTACAGATAATAGATTATGCGAGAGATTCTTACATACCAACACATTTTGCAACTTAATGTTTAATCCATTCTTAGTTTTCAAGTGCAGAAACGCCTTGTTTTGCAACTTTAATGTAATGCTGAACTTTCTTTGTCTCTACCAGATACTCTTCCAAATTTTGAGTCACCAAGTGGTTTATTGCTCCACTATCCACTACAAAATCAATAGTAGGTACCATTTCCAGAGTTACAATTTTCTGAGGTTAAGCATGTAATAAAAGTTACTTCCTGGTCTTCAGCAACATTTGCATTTCTTTTTGGGTATTTATTTTGGTCTTATTGTTTATTCTTGAAACAATCCGATTTCTTATGTCCTCGTAAGCCACATCCATAGCATTTAAATGGAAATTTTCCCTTCTGCATGCCTTTCTTTTTCTGTGCTCCGAAAGCCTGTGTGGAACTTTCACCATGACTTTCACATTTCTTTTGTCTAGACTCTTCTAATAGCAACTTGTTCTTGACAAAATCTTGGGTAACAGCTGCCTGATTCTGACAAAAGTAAATATCAATTGCTGTGGTCACAGTTTGATAATTTTCTGGCATCACTGCCAAAAGTTGGGTTATCACTTCGGAGTCACTTATGGTTCCACCACAATTCTTTAGTTCCATGACCGTTTTTTCAAATTCTATCAGAAAAGCATTCAATGATTCAGCTGAGTTGAATTTCATATTCCTAAACTTGCACTGAAGTTGCACCTGTGTAGCCAATCCACTTTTCTGATAAGTTCCGCTTAAGGTTTCCATAATTTCCTTAGCTGTGGTTTTCAACTTAATCATCTCCAGCACATTGTCCGCTAGACATTGAAAAATCAAATTTCGTGCTTTCAGATCTTTCTTCTTCCATGCGCTGAATGCTGTTAGATCTGTTGCTGTTGGCGAATCCTTCGTCAAGAGTCCCAGAACATCATGGTGTTCAAGTAGTAATTTCACTCGAAATTCCAAATTACTGTGTCCAGAACCATCGAAAGGTTTCACGGTAATTGTTCCACTACTTGATGCTATATTTACACTGGTCTCCGACTGCAATTACCTAACCTTTTTGTCACCGTAACAATCAGGCCTATGATGTATCATTTTCTGTTATTTTAACAGCAGCGTTAAATAATCTGTTGCTGTTTATTCTATACGTCAAAATAGAGACGGAAATACATCATAGGCCTGATTAACAAAATATACTGACACTTTTGTCAAAAATGTCCAAAATAACTAATTTTTTACCTAGATTCATGAAGTACCAAAAACCACGAACAAATGTACGTTACTTTACAACAACTTATAAATGTTTTTTGTCAAATGATAACCCAGAAGCCACACAAATAGCCTCTTCCCTTGAACAACGAGATACAAAGAACTCCAATGAAGAAATTTTGGATGCCTACCAGGAGAAACTCAAATATTCAACACTTTTAACAGAAGGCAAAGCAAGTAGATATGGTAATTTCAACCTAACTCGAGGTATAAATGGAGTTTATGACATAGAAGACCTAATTGAAGTCTTAAAAAATCAACAGGCTGAAGAAATTTTCGTAGCTAACACCCCCAAAGAACTAAATTATGTTGATTACATTGTAGTAGTTTCTGGAAGATCACAAAGACATATGCAAGCCATTGCACAATTTGTTAAGAGAATCTATAAACACAAGAGATATAGTTTGGATATGCTGCCTAAAATCGAAGGAGAAAATTCCCCAGACTGGATAGCCATGGATATGGGGAATATTGCTCTGCATATATTTTCCAGTAACAGTAGGTTGGTTTATGATCTTGATTCTTTGTGGGCGGTAGGGCCCAACTATGATGAAAAGTCTAATAGAAAGGAAGCTTTGTCTAGTTTATTGGAAAGTCATACATTGTCTATGGTAGGTTTAGAACCAGCAAAATAAAATGGTTAACTATCTATAAATATTTATTTTATTAGAAAAATTTAAATAATTAGTTACATTTTGTAGAACATTTGTATCTATCTACCCATAATCACGTATGTTATATCTACAGGATTTTTTATTTAAAAAAAATTGTAAATTTTAGTGTATCTTGTAAAATGTTTTGTTGTTTTGTCACCGTCAACAGCGAGAGAATTTTAAATACACCCAAAGGTTTCAACTTGAAATTGCTCCAAGACCTAGAGTGATTGATGACTTTTCGAATAAAGGTTTATCTTAAGAGAGTTCGGAAATGTTTGATGGTAGAATAGTGTTCAAACCAGGATCACGTTTGAATTTTGCCTTGGATAACTTCATCCACTGTTTTATATTCATGCATTGAAATTTTTCAACATTCTTCTTGGTTATATAGGGTGGGCCTAAAAAAACCGGAATTTTGTTTTTGAGCTGTAACTTTTTTTTTGTTGAATTATTTCCTCTTGTTAAGGCTTGCTTGAAAGAGAACTAAACAGGCTAACAAATCAAAGGGAAACTTTTGCCATTTGAGAAAAATTCGATGGCGGACTTCTTCATAAATTACCTAGTTTTGGATAGCGGTGGATCTTTTTTGTGACCCTCTATGTAAACTTCCGACAACTTTGAGTACTCAAAATTAAACGCTCGGGCTCGAAAAATATAAATGTTTTATTAATAATGCACAGATGAGAATAGAATAGAAGGCTTTGGCACAGGGACACGACTCGCTCGGATAACTCTCTAGCAGGCTTGTTCCAAGAAAATTTTCAAGTGTGCATTTAACCAATGAAAAATTGTGCATATTCGTTTGAAATTGTGCACATGCTTAAAAATGACGTAAATGACGCAATTACTAGCGCCATCTCTAAGGTTTTACAGGAAGCAGGGGTAGAACGTCCGAAAAATTGATATTTATAGATGGCAACGAAAAACCTTAAAGTCTGTTTTTTTTTTAAAGATAATTCCCCAAGTCAAAAATTTAGTAACTATGTTGGCAACACAAGCCTTTTCTACATAAAAAATTTGAAGCATTGACAATTTTACGTTGTATTGCCAACATAATGTCATTTTGACTTTTATCTTTAAAAAAAAAAACAGATTTTAGTTCCATTTCAACAGACATGAAAACCGTTCCAGAACCAGTAATTTTCAGTTGCCCACCTATTTTTCAATAAAACCGAATTTTCGCGACGAATGTAGTTCATCAATAGTTCGTCTTGTGACGTCATGAATTTGAACGCTGGCTAGAAGCTGCATCTATGCTTATGGCGAACTACGTTCAATATGACGTCATGAGTTTCTCGCGAAAGCGTTTGTGTTCATGTGAAATCATGGAAGTAGTTTGTCGCGAAATTCGGTTTAAGTTGATCGTATATTCTACTTGACAAATAAATTGATCGACTGGAAATTGCCGTTCTAGATTCTAGAACGGTTCTCATACCTGTTGGAACAGAGCCACCATTATGTGGCTCATATTTGGCTCTCTTTTCCCAAGGATATTCACACTACTACTACAGGATGGCCTATCCTCATAAGGCCCCATGCCCAATTATCAGTTATGACGTAGGCAGCATGTTATTTCCCGCCTTCACCTAGGCTGTTTAAACAACTGACGATTTAGTTGATGACGTGGGAAATGGTAACACACCAATATGGCGGCGACTACCAAAAACGAGGCCGATAAGCAATCCTGTAGGTGTGTATGTTCCTCGCTAAAAATAGCACGTGGAAGCCTTTTCGTACCTGTGGAAAAACAATACTTAGTACTTTCGTACAAATGTGTACATACCTAAAAACTGACTTTTGTGTAAGTGTCCCTAATTGCTTAAACTATAGACTAGAAATAATACATAGAAATAATAAAACAAATAAGTAGAAATTTGAAATTGACAGTACTTATAATCATTTCCAAACCTCCACCGTCTTACTAATAGAACCTTGGGTACCCATTCATTCCAACATCGGATTCCACTTTGGATTCTTTTATCGTCTCATACCCACAAGTTGGGTTCTGAGTCCATATCTGAATGTTTCCAGAGCTCACGTTGGACTGTACTATGTATGGATCACCCTCCACATCGGATCTGACCTCATACCTCGTCCTTTTTCAGATTTCGTCATCGGATTCCTGATTCTAAGCTTACGTTTACGTTATAAGGCTTCAACTTGTCGAGTGAGACCACACCTTCATATTTCTTTTGAGATCTCGTAGATCCCATTAAATCCTTTATCACGTAACGGTCATGGTCTAAGATTCTGGTAATCACGTATGGGCCGCTATACTTTGGCAATAGCTTTTTGCTTTGATACTCGTTACTTGCAATTTGTGTTTTTACTCGAACTTGGTCATCTTCTCTAATTGTTCGACCGTTCTTGGTACGTAACCAAGGAGTAGTTCATAGCGGGATTTTCCTGTAGAAGAATTCTTCGTTTAATTCAGACCCCATCTTATTTTGGAACTCGATAAGTCCCATTTTTCTTCCTCATCAGTGCTAGCAGTGGGCTGGCTCATTATCGTATGGTTGTAACGTTCTACCTGACCGTTCGCTCTCGGCGTTGCTGTAGCATTGAGTACTTTTTAATATTTAAATTGTGACAATATTCCTTGAATTGTTTGGCCGTGTAGCAATTTCCTCTGTCTGTTATTATTCGTCTCGGCACACCAAAGCTTTCTATCACATCATTCACAAAGTTTATCAGGGGTCTTGTCTTAGTAGATGGCACCGTTTATTTCATAAACAATAAACACATACTTTGTGAAGGAGTCATGCAGGGAGTAACACATCGTCCATATAGTATAAAGCTTTGCCACAGCGAAGAAGTCCTAACACTTTATTAATAGTTCTCTGGAAAACCGCAGGAGCATTACAAAGACTAAATGGAACCATCAAATTTTCATAGTGGCCATCTGGATTAGACGATTAAATGGGAGTTTTTTCTTTTTGAAGTTACGAATGTAGGGTATCAAAAGGCTCGGGTACCTTTCCTATTGGATGCATGTAACCATATCTTTTTACCTCCCGGTTCCTTGTTGTATAAGCATGTTAAGCAACTGGTGATATAGTTCTTGATAAACTCTCGCATTCCTGAGAACCAGTATATTTTGGACAGAGCTGAAATCGTTTTGTCGAACGACAGATGCCCACTACCACCATGGAAGTGCATCACTACTGGTGCTGTCTTAGGAATAACCCATCTTTTCCCATCAGGAAGATTCTTGTAGAGTCGCTCGTTAACTAGACAAAAGTCTTTATGTATGCTCTTCTCTTCGATGTCAGTTGGATCTTTTTTGAGTATTTCTATTAGATACTTGCACCTTTCGGTAGCTAGCTTGGTATTCAAAACCCAATCTTCATGATTCGTGTTCAGAAGATTATTTGATAAAGTAGGCGAGTTTTCGAGAATACCTTCTACTGGATTTCGGCTCTCTGTTCGTCTGCGTGCGGCATTCTTTGATCTGCGCGATATTCAACTTTCAAACGTGTATTCCTGGATACTTATCCACCATGTGCCAATTCTTGGAACTAAATCTCTTCTAGTCAATTTCGTTCTAATGGCATTGCAATCGGTGACTAACTTAAAATGTATACCTACCTATTAGGTGAACTAAATGCCTTTAGTGTAAAAACAACAGCCATCGTTTCTCGCTCGTATGAATGATAGCGTTCTTCTTTTGTGGTCTGCTTAGAATAATACATAACTGGTTTCACTTGTCCGTCTTGCTGATTCAACAATAGTATGCCACCGACGCCTAACTTTAATGCATCCTGGATGGACTTCAGTTACCAACTCAGGATCATAGATTGCTGACACTGGCCAAGTGACCAACTTTTCTTTGAGGGCTTCGAATGCTGCACGTTGTTCATCTCTCCACTCAAAATTAGCGTCTTTTTGTGTGAGCACTTTCAACGGTTTTGCGATCGTAGTGAAACTATGTACATACTTCCAGAAGTAACTAGCTAATCCCATGAACTGTATTACACCACGAGCGTCTGTGAGCACTGGAAACTTGCTTACGGCTTCTGTCTCCTTAGGGCCTGGCTGTACTCCTGCTCTGCTGACTTCGTGACCCAAGTATTCCACCTCTCCCTTAAAAAACTGGCATTTGGATAACCTCAGGGTAAGATTGGCTCATCCAATGGGTAGCTGCCAGTTTCTGGATGTCATCTTTCCACCTGGTTCTTGGCCGTCCTAGGTTCCTTTTAGTTGTTCTGGGCCTTCACTCAGTTGTCTTTTTGGTCCATCTATTATCATATGTTCTCAGTAGATTTCCAGCCCATTTCCATTTTAGTCTTGCCACTCGTTCTGCGATGTCTATAACTTTTGTCTTTTGCCTGATCCATTCGTTTGTCTTTCGGTTTTGTAGTCGAATTCCTAGCATTTTTCTCTTCATCCTTAAACTTTCCATGTTACCCTCATTAGGGCTCCATGTTTTTGCAGCGTACGTACGTTAAAGTCGGTAGGACACATTGGTTGAATACATGTTGTGGAAATTTGGAATTAAGGATATCACTAAGTTTGCCATATGCGGTCCATCCAAGCTGAATTCTTCTAGATATCTCCGCTCTCTGACTGATCTTATCGAACGATATTCTTTGTCTAAGGTACACATATTTGTCTACGACTTTAATTTTACTATTGTTCTCAAGGTCAACATCTATAACATCATTGGAGTTAGACATTTTTTTTGTTTTTGCTGCGTCCATTCAAAAGCCGTAGTTTTTTGCGGCACTGTTTAACTCCTGTAGCATGGTCTTCAAGTCATCCATACTCTCGGCAAGAAGTACAATATCGTCTGCAAAGCGAAGGTTGTTCAATTTGTCACCATTGTTGTTAACACCTTTGGCCCCATTCCCATTCGAGTGTCTCAAAGACGTCCTCCAGAGCTGTAGTGAATATTTTAGGGGATATTGTATCTCCTTGTCTGACGCCTCTCCATAAGTTGATCAGATCAGTTTCCCCGAATACTTGGACTGTCATCGCGCAAGAGAGCGTTGATCAGCTGTATGTATCGGCTGTCGATACGGCATCTTCCTAGAGCATTTATAAAATCCCATTTTTCAAGTGTATCAAACGATTGGTACTCATTGGATGAGTCAGACGATCGACAGAAGCGAAGGGCGACGAATTGGAGAGGCTTATGTCCAGAGATGGACCGAAAGAAGCTGAAAATGATG